ATTTATATGTCATAATAGAGAAGTCCCTTCTATATTTCTCGGGTCCCTTGGTCTTTAGGATATGGAAAAAACATCACAACAATGTAAAATAGATATACACAGGTTAGTAACTGAGATAAAAGGAAACACATGGCGGTAATGATCTCCCATATAATTTTTTTCTCCAACATTCTGCACAAGCACCAGTTAATGGATACATGAAATTTAATTAATGGTTAGTACTATCAACTATTGTACAACAACAACAACAACAACAACAACCAGCATTACTACTACTGCTACTACTACTACTTATACTACTACCGCCACCACCACCACCACTACAACAACGACTACTACATCTCCAACACAAACAATGACTATTTAAAAAAAAAAAATCTGACTGTAACATGAATGCATTCACAAAAAGTGACTAGCGTTGAATGTTACAGTAGTCACCAAATGAACACATAATGAACCTCTGACTAAACCAGGTGTAACGTTTCCCACTAATTAGGTTGTAATGTGCGGACTTATTGCTTATAAACAGCAATATAAACAGCACGTTTGTTTAATAATTTCATGATCCCAGAGTGCTAGGATTCTTTGACAACGGTGAGCGAACCACTGTACTTGTGATTTTCGTACAGCAGCCATTTGAAAGAGACTTAGGCCTCACCTTTTAGTATTCCCATATTCCATAACGTCGGCTCTGTGGCTAAGTCGATGCGAACGCTTCGTAATGCCGGGGTACCGGGTTCTATTCCAGCTGCGGGCCATACGCCTTGCGTTGGTTTCGACAGTGGTATCAGGGAGCCGACCGTCCAGGAAAAAATGGCAAACTACTGGACGTATATTTGCCTAGTGAAACCACACAACAGCCAGGGACTGATGAGGCTGGTTCTGCAATGTCCTGTGAAATATACGCAACTAACCTTTAAAAATATTCCCTAACGGGAATCTCCGTGACGTTGGCGGCTATACCCCCCGCTTGCGGATCAGAAGGTCGTTGGTTAGCGTTCTGACGTAAGCCTTTTTTTTTTTTTGAGTCTCTCTACTCATTCTTCAGTTAAGGATTTCTTTTTCGACGTCATTTGCTTCCTATTTAACTGCCTGTTTTGTGATTCTTTGTTTCTCCTAAGATATACCCAATATATCGCCATCTACTTTGTCTTACAACTGTTAATACCAACGGTTGTCGCAGAAATGTTTCTAATTTTTTTGCCGTTCCTAAATTCCACTCATTGAATATTTATGAATTTTCTCAGGAATGTGTTTTCCAGTGCGTTTAACTTTCGCTCCCTATCTTTAGTGATTATCAACATTAAACTGACACATGTTGAAACTGAAATAATTAAAAATTGAAACCGAAAATGCATTATATAATTTAATGCTTTCTTGTATGATGATCACAAGAGAAATATGTAAACGAGTGGCCTAAATTTGGTAATTGAAGGACAATAAACGTGTTACTATAATTATATTTCACACATAAGTAATAACACGTTAAATGGCTAGTTTCCCACGCAGCCTAATAGGACTTTAACCTCGAGAATCTCGTCCCCCTTCTTGCTGCAGTCAGCAGAGTATGCGTCTGTGGAAAGGAGTATAGTTTAGGTGAGCGAGTAAAGTATTGTTTATTTAAGTAAGCAAGCAGATATGGTTTAGGCAAGTAAATAAAGTCTAGTTTACGCAAGTAAATAAAGCATTTAAACAATGCTTAACTTCACACAAATAAGTAACGTGTAAGTAAATAAAGCATTGTTTATGCAAGTAAGTAAAGTATAGTTTAAGCCAGTAAAGAAAGCATTAATTATGCAGAGTAAGTATAGTATAGTTTATGAAAGAAAGCAAAGTACAGTTTACGCAAAAATGTAAAGTATAGTCTATGTAAGTAAAATATAGTTTATACAAGTAGGTAAAGCATAGTTTACGCAAGCAGGTAAATTATAGTTTAAACTAGTAAATAAAGTATAGTTTATACCAGTAAGTAAACTAAAGGACCCGTTTCACGACATTGGAGCATAGGACTTGTTATAGTAGGCCCATTGTTCAAGTTGCTACTGGATTTATAAAGTGGTCATAGGCTAGAACTGGAGTCCGCCGTGGTGTAGCGACGTGACACTCGACTTAGTCCCCACGGTTGCAGGTTCAGGTTCACATCCAGTCGGTTAGAAGAAAAAAATACCTTCACTTCCAAGTAGACCTAGCCTAAAATAGGTTCAATCCTGGGAAGTAAAGACGGCCGACGTGATGTTGGCCACAATTACTTGCCGAATGCCTTTTGATCTATGTATAAAATATATATCTAGCACTTAAACGAGTGGAAGTCGCCATGGCGTTGGCGGCTAGACGCCCGACTGCTGATCGGAAGGTGGTGGGTTCGAGTCCTGACTGAGCCAGACTGTTTTTCAAAAATGACCTTGACTCCCAGGTCGACCCAGCCCTAAGTGGGTACCATGTGCAGTCCTGGGAAGTAAAGGCGGCCGGCGTGATGCACCCACCAAGTGCCGATTGATCTATAAACATGTAGGTATAGCCATATATTTCCAGTACACCTAGGGGTGTGGAAAAGAGACCTTTTACTTATAAGCGTAGTATGCCTAATGACATGGACAGGAGTTCTTTACTGTTGACAGGCTAGAACTAATAAAATAGAATCATCTAATTCCTAATTAGGAGTGTATTGAGTATATATCCTTGTCATTGAGAGTTAGAAAAAGAATTCTTGCTTGCTACATATATCCAGTTTTAACATATGGCTGTGAATTCTGGACAATCGGTAGGCAGGCCAAACAATTTCTTGAAGCCTCAGAGATGTGGTATTACAGAAGAATGCTTAAAATACCCTGGACAGCCAAAAAGATTAACCAAGAGGTTTTGAAAAAGGCGGGAACCCGAAAACTACTTATCACAGACATCAGAAGGAGACAGTCATTATTTTTCGGCTATGTTATGAGAAGAGTGAAAATGTAACATGTTGTGACCAGTGGCAAGATCTATGAAGAGAGGGATAGAGGAAGACAACGAGAGAGGATTCTTGACAGTCTTGTTGCATGGCATGGAGGTGTGTCGGCACACGAACTGATACATGCTGCAGGAGTTCGTGGATAATGGAGAGTGATGATCGCCCACGCCAGTCGGCAAGGCACCTGATGATGATGATGATTGAGAGAAATGTTACCAGGCGTCACGGAGAGCCATGCCGAAGAAATACAATGAACTCAAAGCCAAGGAAGTAAAAAAAAAAAAAAAAAAAACGACAGCATCAAGAACAGCCTAAAAAAAAAATAATTAAGACCAGCTCATACAACGCAGTATCCTTGTGCGGGTTCCGAAATCTCATTATTTGGAGGAAAAAACAAACAAACAAACAACAGAGACACTATCGCTTAACAAGTTTGTCATAACAATCAACTAATTATGGGTGTTTCTTTCGAAGTCGACGTGCATCTGCCTGAAAGGAGAGGAATAAGCATTCTACATTAAAAAAAAAGCCAGATTTAGGTCGGAAACAAGCCTATGGTCAAGAAGTGGACGAGCAACCAAAACTTTACGCTAGAGTGTATAGAAGAAGAAGAAGAAGAAGAAGAAGAAGAAGATACAATGAATTTGAAAGAGCACACCAATAATCCTTACACAGGAACTAAACAGTTTTCATCGAAAAAACAGTCTGAGCCGTTGCCTGGAGTATTAGTTAAATAGTGCCAACTTCCATATTTTAGGTCTAGTGGTACTCGACGAGTTACCCCAGGAACAATAACTTCTCAAGAGAATAACTTTTTTTTACCAATTTTAAAATTGGAATCTGTTTCTAAGCGGATTGGCTAGCACCCTGATCTATCGGTCCCATAGTCAAACGCTTGAATCCATAGATGTATAACACACGCATACATCACACACAAAGACGCATACACTCATACAACCCACACACTAATATAGTACACACTCACACACAAACATACCCACATATATACAAAACTACAAACACACCAGCCCCTCATCAACACACATACACACACATCATCTGTCTAAACTTTTCTTCTCAGTCTCTTTACTCAACCGTTGCATTCACACCCTGTGCTCCAAGATGGCTGCGTGGTCTCGATGCATGTTGTCCGCGTCGAGTGCTAGACTCTCAGGTTCAGGCACCGGTGAAGACTGGGACTTCTAGTAATTTCTCCTGGTCACTGGGTAGTGAGATCGGACTCCCGTGTGTATTGTTGCACACGTAAAGAATTTATTGGCAGTTGGAAATCGAAAAAAAAAGTAGCCTAACGGCGCTGCCCGAGCAACATTTGGAGTTAAAAATATACACAAAATATTTCAGGACCCTCGATGGTGCTACGGGTCGCGTGCACTGCGCAGATCTACTTTGGACTCAGACTTGAGTTAGAAGTAGAAAGCAACACTTATGGGTTTCTACCCGTGTGCCATGATGTCGATCCGTTGTTTAAACCTCAAACCCTGTGCTACATAGCTACGTTATAAATTATAATTAACCTGTAACAAATCCCTGTTCTGTGTTGTATGAAATAGCAAACAACGACTGTCATGTCATCAATTAACTTATAGATTCTTTATGCACTGTATGCATGGGTAGGTAGTTTATCTTATTGGTGGCTTTGTGAACTGTATCGTCAAAGTTGTAAAGAATAAAACTGGCTAGTAAATAAATAATTTAAGCCAGAAAAAGCGCGAACTGAGCTTTTCTTAATAACGCTGTACAAACTAGACTGGTGAATAATAACGATTTTCTAACGCTAACAAGACATAATGACCTCAGACGGAAGTCTGGCCAAGTACACCTGTACCGTCTTAGACATCAAGATATGAAACATTATAACCAACATTTTAAAGAAACAGATAAGGGCCTTGGCCTGGCTGCTGCGTCTGAGGACTTAGCAAGCATGGAAATGACAAAACTGCACAGCTACAAGATAACATTTCAAAAATGATGCTGAACTGCCACATTACCGTCATAGTGGATAGCATTACATCTTTCTGGAATTTTCAGGGACTCAGCCCACGACTTCCAGAAGTACCGAGGCCGCTTGAACATGCTGGTGAGAACAGCTGCAAAGATTCCTGCTAGAGAGTCAATCACGGCCACAAAGAAGGTTATGCCTTTGACGAAGTCAAGGCCACGCAGTTCAGAATTCTCGTCTTCAATTATTTTCCAGTCTGAGATATACAAAAAAAAAAAAAAGGAAGAAATTGAATAGCAATATCGTGATTATCGTTTAATTAACATTTTGTCATCATGCCGTGTAGGTTCCTTGACCCCATTGTAAAGAAATCAAGGATAAACTCACTGCTATTTCCCTCACACCCCTCAACAAGCATGTTGTAAGAATCGACGACTGGAGGTTTCCTTCGAAAGCGGAGTTCATCTGCCTGAGATGCAAGAACATCCAACATCAGTATATAAACAAGTCAGATTGGTAGCACAGATGTGCAAGTATCATTTAGGTTCCGCAACAAGACTAAAGAGGTGGACAAACACGTTGAACTTCTGTCGGAGTGTACAGGTACAGGACTTCCACTCCCTATTTTCCAAACAAGAATGTTGTAAAAGACATCTAATTAGCGATGTTCCGTTTGAAGTTGGAGTGCATCTCTCTGAGAGACGGCGAGCCAACAGTCTGCATACAAATAAGAACTCAAGAACTAGAAATGCACGAACAACCAGAAATTTCTAACAGGATGATCATCATTCTGATAATCTTTTGCTTGATGATGCAGTCGTTGAGAGTATTCTACTATGACGTTCCTCGCAATAAATTCTAATGATTATAATAATTGATCTTTCAGATCATCTGTCACTATATCTCTCTGCTTGCCTCCGCTTTTTCTTCCACTGCTCTTTCCATTCGACACGATGATTTTCAATGCGTTTTTTTTATAACGTGACCTAAGAACACTTTGTTTCTTATAAACGAGTTTCATGTTCTGCTTTCACTACATTTTCCTTTCAGGCTATCGTCAGTTCTACGATGGTCTGGAGTGAACGGCTAGGGAGGGGAAAGTTTTCACACAACGTTCTGCATTGGTTTCCACAACTCCACAACCTTCTGATCGTGGTGCCGACAAGACAGAAAGTATTGCATTTAGAATTGCCTAGTTAAACCACATAAAGTAAAGTAAGTAGAGGTCAATGTATACGCCCGAGAGCCATCGAGCTGACGAGAGTAGGCGCATATTTTATAGACGAATGCAAGATTTGGTCAACATTGCGCCGGCTGCCTTTACTTCCCAGGCCTTTTCTTGGTACCTGTTTAAGGCTGGGTCAATCTGGGTACCAAGGTCTAGCTTTAAGAAATAAAATCCATCCCTGTGTGGATTTTAACGTTAAACTACATAGCCAGTGAATACTCGGGCTGTGATTGCAGAGTCCTAAGAGCATTTATAGGGAAAATACCATCCGTCACCATATATACTTCTTGTCTCTTGTCCAGACGTGTTATAAATGTTTCTTAGAGAAATCTAGCTAAAATATAAATGATTTGTTTTTAATCGTATTCTTGTTTGTAATTGCATCATTTTCCCGTTTGTTTTTCATATGCTAATGAATGTTTTCTAGCCGCGACGTTGAGTTGTCATTAGTGTGTGTGATAATGTGAAGCTTACTATTCTATTTCCCTTTTATGTTTTAAATCTGTTCGTGGTTAAGAGCACATAAACTATCCTAACCTAGAAACAAGTACAACATTACGACTGTGACATACAAGGATGTTTCTTGACTTTAATCACCGCGATGAAGTCGAGGCCGGTGTCCGTGATGCTGGTTCTTGTGAGGCTCAGAGTCAAGGTCTTACTGCCCGAGCACATCTCCTTCTTCTCTCTGAGCATGGAGTTTGTGTCGTCACAGCCTAGAACCTGCAAGTGGATCGTGATATTCTTCTTTAAGGTTGCAGCGCTACTATTTTTCACACAGAGTCGGTTTAATTAATTACAAGTTGCGTGTGCTTTACAATCATCAGTACCATCTTGATGCAGTCACAGATTCGATTGGCTGGTCATATTGTTCGAATGCAGGGGTTGCCAAAAATAACCTTCTATGGTGAGATTAATGAAGGTCGACGTTCTAATGTGGGCCAGAAAAAGCGCTTCAAGGACACACTAAAGGCATAATTGAAAGCCTTTAGTAAAAACCCTGACACCTGGGAGGCTGCAACACAAGACCGGACTTTCTGGCGCACATATATCCGAAATGGTGCCACGATCTGCGAGGCCTCTAGAACAAGGGCATCTGAACAGTGAAGACAGGCCAGAAAGAACCATCAAACAGACCTTTTGTCTACAGACACTGTGCCCTGCCCTCATTGTCCTAGAATCTTCCGAGCTCGTATTGGACTTATGAGTCACCTGCGGACTTAAAAACATTCAAGTGCAGTTTTGTAACGGATGAAAGAAAAAGTAGTCCTCATCACTAGTGATGAACGAACAAACGATTATTATTCAGAGTGAGGGATAAATTAATCACAGGTTGTGTATGGTTTACAGCAGGCATGTCACAATTAGAGTCCCCTGAAGGTCATGTGGGTAAGTTTGTGTCGTCATAATGGCCACACGCGACAGCTAACTAAAGTTGTTATATAACAATTACTGCAGAATATGTATCTTTTGCGGACCGCTGGTGAGCCTGCCGGCAGCCAGTTTGACATGCCAGCTTGACATGACTTTGCAGCAGCAGCACCATGTTTTGGCTGTGAGATTTTACTACGCAATTTAAAAATATCACTGATCACTCAAAAATACAAAGGCATTAAACAGGCATCTGAGTTTAAATATCAGGGAACTACATTTACCGAAGATGGGAAATTGGATAAAGAAATTGACATTAGATGCAGTAAAGCAAACCAAGTATTGGGACAGCTAGCCCCCCTCTTACAGCATAAGACAATCCCAATCAGCACAAAGAGACATCTTATTCAAAGCATATTTATTCCAACTCTGTGCTAGCAGTGCCAGACATAGTCACTCACAACAAACCATAAAAGAAAATTAGTAACCACGGAAATGAGATGTCTGAGAAGGGCTGTAGGAGTGACCATAAGAGATAAGATCAGGAATGAGATCATAAGAGAACAAGTCGGCACAGAACCAATTCTGGATTACATATAAAGACAGCAAGTGAAATGGTTTGCCCACTTAGAGAGAATGCCTTGTGACACCATACCATACAAAGCATACATGGAAAGAGAAGAAGGACGTAGAGCACGGGGTAGACCAAGAACAAGATGAAAGGATAACATCAGAGAAACTCTACAACAGCACGATGTGCCTATGGTCGAGGCAGCCAGAAGAGCTAGAAACAGAACCTTACATCTCCCTCGACACCCACAGCGGTAAAAGAGGAAGTGAAGAAGAAGAAGAAGAAGATCACTGAAAGGTCGACTCTCAATACCATTGTCGAAATCAACGTAAGACGGTTTATTGCTAATCATCCGTAGCTGGAATCGAAGTGAGACCTCGGAAGTAGGACGCGAATTCACAACGCCTAGCAGCGTCCATAGTTCCGTTAACACACTATTAGAAGAAAAAAGAAAGTGCTTTTTAGCGTTATGATGTAAAGTAAAGGCACTGGCCACATCACGTATATGATAATAGACCCTTTTTTGTTGTAGACCAATCAGCACTCAGTGGGTGATCTTAGTTAACCTCATCCCCGGCAACCTTTCCCTTCAAGGACATTGCCTATTTGGAGCTGCGTGGTCTCCAGGCATGGCGTCCGCCTATAGTTCTGGAGGTTTTGGGTTCAAGCCCATGTGAGAGCTGGGGGTTTTTCACGTCCACTTCTAGTAATCTCCCCTGATCTCACGAGTAGTAGGATCGGACGCCCGTGTGTATTGTAGCGCACGTAAAAAATTCCCTGGCAGTTGGTAATCGAAAAAGATTATCATAACGGCGCAGCCCGGGCAAAATTTGGAGTTTAAAATATACCCAAAGTATTTCAGGATCCTCGCGGGTGTTACAGAGTACGAGCACTGCGCTGAGATTCTTCGGACTCAGGCTTGAGTCAAAAGTAGAAGGAAGCACTTATGGGTTACTACCCTTGTGTCATGATGTTGATCCGTTGTCGAAACCCTGATACTCATTTTAGGCTAGGTCAATCTAAGAGCCAAGGTCAATTTTGAAGAAGAAAAAAATATGACTTTAGGCAGATTCTAAATCAAGCCATACGACATATTAAAAAACGATAATCGTTAAATATTATCTGTTCTTAACCCCTTCTGTACATCGCAGAAACCCTCACACTGGAAGTCTTTTTCTTCTTTAGGCTATCCTCTGAATAACGGGCACAAAAGATGGCGGCCAATGGCCAGAAAACCACAAATTAAATCGCCAGAAGTGCGCAATTGACACGTGACTGAGTCTCTGTTAGGGTGTTTTTGCCCCCGCCATCTTTTGTGCCTGTTATTCGGAGGATAGCCCTTCTTTGTGTTCACAAGCTGTAAACTCCGGCGGAAAGTTCTGTCTCCATCTCCTGACCTGTAGTCTTGTTGCAGAAACTGACTGTTGCATGCACATCCGTTATACATATCTGGCTTATTTGTTTTGCATTTTGTTGGTTTATTTTCTTTCTCAGGCAGGAGCATTTCGACTTCGAAGGAAGTCCCCAATTAGTCGACTCTTACAACAGACTTGCTAGTGAGGTAGTGGGTCTGTTCTTGATTTCTTCACAGTGGGACCCTGGAACCTTCACGGGGATGGACAATGAAAGAGTCACTAGAAAATCTGAGACTCTAGAAATATGGATGTGCAGAAGAATAGACCATATTGCGTGGAAATAAGATCTCTAGCGTTCAATAATTTGTTCATCTTTTTGAATGTTGAATTAAGAATCGACATCACTGCCCTCAGGAGCACTCCCTCCCAATCTTCAGCAGCATACGAAGAGTTCCAATTCCGATGGCACCAGTAACTGTCTGTATATCTGTCTCGCCCTTCCCTTGAGTGTTGAGCGTCGGCCAGATCCCCTGGTAACTCTTTGCAGCACAATTCTCCCCCAGACGATAATGATCTATCTGTACCACCACACTGTTCACTCACTCCCAAATGGCCTTCAAAATATCTAGCTTGTCATAAATCAATTCAACACCAAGTGGTACAGAACCAGCCAGTCTATCCGCTTGCTCATTTCCCAACACATCAGCATTACCTGAAGTAAATATCCAAAGAACGCTGACTACCCGGGAACTCTGAAGTGATGCTTACCACTCTGCACAGCACTTGCCTATCTCCACTTTCTCTACATAGTCAGCTGTGACTGCCTCCATCTCCATTCTCAAACTAGAAGTTGTGATATGCAACGTTTTTGTTGCACTAAGTGACGTCCATTTTGCTATGAACTCCCATGCACTTTTTATTCTGCCCCTCAACACAGAGCCATTTGTATATATCATCACATCACCAGGGCAGGAATTGTCATGAACCATGTGTTGAACTTCTGATTCCGTCGTGATGTTGAGGTCATTATCTACCAGGTACCTATCCATATGGACATATATGGGCCTAACACTCTATGCTCGATGCACAAATGGAATAAAATGTATCCTTGACTGATTTAATCGCCCTCCCCCCCCCCCCTTTCCAAAAAAAAAAAAGAGGATAAACGGCCATTACTGTCTGTATTGTCAGCGTCGTGTTGACCATCATCAAGGTCTGTAAAAATATGAGTCTGGCCTGATATGCCTGATGCGCCACTCGCGTGTAAAGGGACATTTACTTTACCTTCTTACTGCCTATATTTACTATTTTTGAGGGGCAGGCAGTGTACTCTTTGGGCCCAAATATTAAGGGCCTCATGGCATGGTTAAATCAGTCACATTGTGACTGAAAAAAAACATCCGGAAGACTTAGTTTTTTGACAGCCAGCCAGCCAGTCAGTCAGTAAATCAGTCAGTTAGTCGGCCAGTCAGCAGTCGGTCAGTTAGTTATTTAGTTAGTTAGTTAGTTAGTTACCTAGTTATTTAGTTTAGTGAGTGAGTCAGTCAGTCAATGAGCCAGTCAGTCAGTCAATCAGTTAGTTAGTTAGTTAGTTAGTTAGTTAGTTAGTTGGTTAAGTTAGTTAGTTGGTTAGTTAGTTAGTTAGTTAGTTAGTTAGTTAGTTAGTTAAGTTAGTTAGTTGGTTAAGTTAGTTAGTTGGTTAGTTAGTTAGTTAGTTAGTTAGTTAGTTAGTTAGTTAGTTAGTTAGTTAGTTAGTTAGTTAGTCAGTCGGTCAGTCAGTTAGGATAAGGACAGATTAACTTTACTGCACATCCGACAAGATCATAAGCGCTCTGATCCTATCTTCAGCATATCTCTCAGTGTGTGGTGACTGATAACACCAGTTCCGTGATGGTTTACTAATCTTCTTTGGTTACCTGTTCCTGAAGTCCTTGTAGTCGTTTGAATGTTGCAGACTCACCGTCGTCTCATGAACCCCTTGCGCGCGCGCGCGCACACACACACACACACACTCACGCACACATATGCGCGCGCGCACACACATACATAAAAACACAGATACACACACTCAGACACGCAAACCCACACACACACACACCAAGAAAGAAATTACCAGCAAAACTGAAGAAACACACAATGAAATAACAGCTTCCTAGATAGCGGTTGAACTTGGCATATTCACATTGATGGTGATGATGATGGTGATGATGATGATGGTGATGATGGTGATGGTGATGATGGTGATGATAAATTACCTCAGATTGTGGCCAGAATCGAGTGTTGAAGCCGCTGACCACCAGACTGGACTTGCAGTTCTCGTTCTTGTCCACTTTCTTGACTTGAAGACAGACTTCCACGTGATCTTCGTCGGTGTCCGTGCTGAAGGTCAGCTGAGCAGGGTCACAAAAATGGGTGATCAGTCAATCATATCAGACCAAACATTATCATCGATGGGTTACGTCATCAAGCCACCCGCGTTCATTTCTCAGGACTTTACCTTGTACACGTTTAGGGCTAGGTACACCTGGGAGCCGAGGTCAAACTTGAAAACAATAAACATACGGCTCCATGGGGATTTAAACACACGAACTTCGGATCCGCAGGCAAGCACCTAGCCGCTACACTTTGGCGGCTCCCTCAGAACAAGCGGTCAGAGAGAAAAAAGGGTGGTTTGACAGGAGATACTTAGTCAAACTGACATAACAAGTAGGCTAACAGACAGGAGATACATAGTCATACAGAAATAACAAGTGGGCTAACAGACAGGAGATACATTGTCATACTGACATAACAAGTGGGCTAACAGAGAGGAGATACATAGTCATACTGACATAACAAGTGCGCTAACAGACAGAAGAGACATTGCCATACTGACATAACAAGTAGGCTAACAGACAGGAGATACATAGTCATACTGAAATAACAAGTGGGCTAACATACAGGAGATACATAGTCATACTGACATATCTAGTAAGCTAACAGATAGGAGATACATTGTCACACAGACATAACAAGTAGCCTAAAAGATAGAAGATACATAGTCATACTGACATAACAAGTAGGCTAACAGACAGCAGATACATTGTCATACTGACATAACAAGTAGGCTAACAAACAGAAGATACATAGTCATACTGACATAACAAGTGGTATTCTAACAGACAGGAGATACATAGTCATACTGACATATCAATTAGGCTAACAGACAGCAGATGCATAGTCATACTGACAAAACAAGTGGGCTAACAGACAGGAGATACATTGTCATATTGACATAATAAGTAGGTCTAACAGACATGAGATACATAGTCATAATGAGAGTAAGTAGGCTAACAGACAGGAGATACATAGTCATACTGACAACACAAGTAAACTAACAGACAGGAGATACATAGTCTACTGACATATCAAGTAGGCTAACAGACAGGAGATACATAGTCATACTGACATATCAATTAGGCTAACAGACGAAAGATACATAGTCATACTGACATAACAAGTAGGCTAACAGACAGGAGATACATAGTCATACTGACATAACAAGTAGGCTAACAGACAGAAGATATATAATCATACTGACGTAACAAGTGGGCTAACAGACAGGAGATACGTGGTCATACTGACATAACAAGTAGGCTAACAGACGGAAGATACATAGTCATACTGACATAACAAGTAGGCTAACAGACAGGAGATACATAGTCATACGAACGTAACAAATGGGCTAACAGACACAACATACATAGTCATACTGACATAATAAGTAGGCTAACAGATAGGAGATACATAGTCATACTGACATAACAAGTAGGCTAACAGATAGAAGATACATAGTCATACTGACATTACAAGTAGGCTAACAGACAGAAGATACATAGTCATACTGACATTACAAGTAGGCTAACAGGCAGGAGATACATAGTCATACTGACATAACATTCCGGCTAACAAACAGGAGATACATAGTCATACTGAGATATGTTTGTGTAGTATAGACTCGGAAAAATAACGAACCGATTCAGCTGAAATTTATAGGATATTATTTTGATGTAGGGATGCTATATGTCATAGTTTGAAATAGGTGGCGATTAAATCTTTTGAAACAAACCTAAAAAAACGAAAACAAACACACACACACACACACGCGCGCGCGCGCGCTAATTTCATTTCATTTCATTCAGGCGTCAGGCAAACAACATTTTCACAATATTTGCCGCTCGAGTGGTTTTCAACACAATAGGTGGCATGCGAGTCGTTTTGACACATTTCATACAGTATATATATATATCTATATCTATATATATATAATTTTTTTTTCACATACGAAAATTGTGTAGCTGCTTCAAAAAGAAATTCACATGCGACCCTTTGATCAATTGTTAAGTGAAGTTGCCACCTTTAAAAATGCGCTTAGGGGTGAAATCGCCCCGAACTACCCTAATATGACTCAGTGCTAACGAAATATCACAGGCAGAAAAAATCATTACCATGCAAGCTGAAGGGAGCTCAGTCTGGGTGGGATATTGCTGTGAGTATACATGAATTGTTTCCCCTGGCTTCAAGACTTCTGACCGGTTGCATTGCCTGAAGGAATGCATGCCATCTGAGGAAATCAAGTATTGAGAAACAATGTAGGTATCGCGTGCGAATCTGCACTAGAACTAGTACTGAGTGAGCAAATAAGACGTCAAAACAATACGTAGCGTTGTGAAGGTATTGTTGTCAAAGGCAGTTGAGGTTTACAGTCCGAAGGAACGGACGTGTGGTTCCTTGAGGACGCTTTACCCCGGGATTCCACGGAAGCAGACGTTGTATACAGTTGGATCCTTGAGGACGTTTTACCCCGGGACTCCACTGTAGACCTCAGCAGAAAGCTGGTATATTGTCACAGTTCGGCATTAAGCCGGTATACTTACATTAACTTATTCAGACTGCGGAACAGAAGACAAAGATAACTGTCTGGATCTCAAGGTCGGACTGCGACCTATCGTGAGGACATATCAGTCCATGGATGTACGAGCGGGCTTTTGTTGATGTGCTTGAATGAGTCTGGATTATTAATTGCATATTTTCTCCTTGTGTTGATCATTGCTATTGTCAATACACAAATGGAACCTTTTAAAAGAGTTCTCGTTCCACTACGTTTGGAAGCTTCAACATTCATCGTGTTGTGTTACTCTTGGCCAGTGGCATGTTAAGTGTTGATGCCATTTGTTACATTGCGACGCCCCTAGTCACCGTTTGTACGCCGCACATCACCACGCAGCCTTTACAGCACGTCACACCGTAGGCCCAAGCAATACGCACGTCACAGTAGGCATGGTTTCATATACTTTACAGATCTCATCACCATTGAGTCCCACAATGGCTATTAGATTTGACTACAAACTTAATTTAGTTTTGGGACAGGGTAGGTCATTGTTCCCTTCGGATTGCTGTCCGTGGGATTAACACCTCAAAGATGAGAATCGAACAGAAGCATTTCCCAGAAACGCCGTTTAACCTGTTGTGTACTAGAGTTCTCTACTTTGTGTTTGTGACACACAGGTTCGTCTTTGTTTTCTAGAGTATGGACGAGGACGAGAAAGATGGTAGAATCAATAGTGGCAGTGATGGAAGATGTTCTTTCTTTGCTAGAGCCATCCGTTTCACTTGTTTCTTTGTTCCGTGTCCATCGCTGCCATAATCTTAAGAACATTGAGTTCTTTTTGGCTTTTCACCGCAACTGCATCCACATGATCCCCAAGGACAGGCTTCTATCGTAAATGATTCCTAGGTACCCTCAGTTTGCTTCCTCTTTTGATGCTACTGTTTCTAATTGTGATGCTTGGAACATAAGCACTTATAATTCTATTGCCCAGAGAGCACCACAAAACAGCCGCCTTTTCTCAGTTGATGACAGCACCCATTTTTGCATACCAGTCAGTCACTTTGTCAACAGTTGCCTGCAGCTCTGGGCTATCCGTTGTCTATAGATTCCCTATCTATATGAGCTTCTAATGTTGTTTGGTACTGTACTATTCTTCTTCTTCTTCTTCTTCTTCTTCTTCTTCTTCTTCTTCTTCTTCTTCTTCTTCTTCTTCTTCTTCTTCTTCTTCTTCTTCTTCTTCTTCTTCTTCTTCTTCTTCTTCTTCTTCTTCTTCTTCTTCTTCTTCTTCTTCTTCTTCTTCTTCTTCTTCTTGTTTGTTTACCAACTGGAAGCTTCGGCGAAAATTCATGGTTGTTCGTCTACTTGAGTTAAGCGTGCACATCCCTTTTATTGACTTATTTGTGTGCAGCTGGTTGTTCCTTGCCACTAGGGCGCATGTACACCGACTTCAAAGGAAGTCCCCTATTAGTCGACATGCTTGTTGGGCGGCTGTGGGTCTGTTCTTGTTTTACCCACAATGCGGCCCCGGAACCCACTCGGGTGCTGCATACCTTGTTAATGTTTCTATCAAGTGTGTCTCTGTTAGACATAAATCTACCAGAAACTAAGGCTACCAGACTACCAGACTACCAGACATAAATCAATGTATTGTTAAGTACCTGTTAAGTTGTTGTTCACTGTCTCGCCTCATGTCTTCTCTCTAGCCTCTCAGCTGTCTGCCATTGCTCTCTTAATGGTGAAAGCCCCAAATCATTGTCGAAATTAACACAAAGCGGTCGGTTGCCACAACCTATAGCAGCACTATAGGACCATATGCTTCGGAACTATAAACTATGCTTAAAAAATCCTTCCACGACTCACACTATTTGAAAACTAAACATTTAAAATCCCAGATTCAGTATCTGCCGTCGACAAATCTGTACTCATACAAAAAGAAGATTGGAAAAGCCTGAACAACATGGAAAGAGGCCAAGATTACAGGAAAGAACTCCGAATGATTAGAATCCCAAATACAGCGATTCGATATTTTACTGACACCGAGAGACTCAAGTTCGTTAATATGTATGGGGCTCTGACCTCGATTACCCTTCCTATCACTCCCAGATCGTTCGTCCGTCCTCTGTGTTGCAAGTTTCTTATGCTGAAGCCAGTGCGTTCCTTGTGTTCAATCGTTCACTAGCAGAGAGATTTTGTTTGAAACGTTACTACGCTGCTGTTCACTTGTTCCGCTCGCAAATAGACACAACACACAGATCAGCTGCCGATGCGGCATCGTCTTCTTCTTATTTTTCTTCTTCTTCTTCTTCTTCTTCTTCTTCTTCTTCTTCTTCTTCTTCTTCTTCTTCTTCTTCTTCTTCTTCTTCTTCTTCTTCTTCTTCTTCTTCTTCTTCTTCTTCTTCTTCTTCTTCTTCTTCGATTGTTCTTAAAAGGACCACTTAAATGCTGTGGTTTACAATTAAACTGCGATATCTTTCTACCCAACACGTCCTATTTCAGCAAAATCCAAAAATTAGTTGCCATTTTACCGCATGCAGAAGAAGAAGAAGAAGATGAAGAAATCTAAGGTGGCAGTGGGAATATCCCATTCCCGCTTTCCGACCCAAATGGTGTCACATAACCCACGTATCGAAACGCTGACAAGCTTTTAAGTATATACCTATATATGTGTCTGTGTGTATCTCTGTGTTGGCCGTGTTTTCCATTTACAGTTTGTGCTCATTTCTTTTTCACAGAGCTTATCGCTTCTTTAATTTAACATTTACGATGTTATATACGATGAACTAAAGAACTATAACATGACTACTAGTGTGGCTGGTATGTTAGGCTAGTTCTGTTTTTGTGACTAAAGGGACAAGAAAACACGTTCATGTTGTGCTTAGCACATGATTTCTATCTATACCTTGTTCATGTCGCTGTTGACACATAAGGCATTCACAAGTAATCTCCATTGCTGCCGGTCTGCTGCTTTTCCGCCCATAGTATCCCATGTCAATTCACATTTCTTCATTTCCCGTTCTACTGTACTTCTCCAGGTTTCCTTAGGTCGTCCACGTCTCCTTTTCCCATTTGCTGTCCACCGGGGAGCTGTTTTTGCCAGAGTGTCACAAGACATTCTGCAAACATGTCCAAGCCATCTCCATTGTCTTAATTTGATAACATTTGCCAGTGATGCACATTCTGTTTTCCTCATCAGTTCATTCTTCATTTGTGATCTTGTTTGGCGACAATATTCGTAGAATTCTCCTTAAACATTTATGACTTCACTTATTGAAAATGTCTGGCTCTGCCAGGATCCGAACCCTCGACGAAATTACGAAGAGATGTGACTAACACTTACCTTTGCTTTCTTTCTTTGTTTCTTTCTTTGTTTGTTTGTTTCTTTCATTCATTCATTCTTTCTTTCTTTATTTCTTTCTTTCTTTCTTTCTTTCTTTCTTTCTTTCTTTCTTTCTTTCTTTCTTTCTTTCTTTCTTTCTTTCTTTCTTTCTTTCTTTCTTTCTTTCTTTCTTTCTTTCTCTCTTTCTTTCTTTCTTTCTTTCTTTCTTTCTTACTTTCTTTCTTTTCATGCATCAATTCTGTGTTTATATTTTTTTTAAATCGAGCTTTGGTTTCCGTGTCAGCTTGACATCATCATCATGATGATCGACATCATCATCATCATCATCATGATCGTCAACAACAACAGGGAGCACGTCTTGCAGAGTGTCTCTTGCATTACGATGGCCAGAAATCCATTGGGTAGCGTGACAATTTATTTTCGCCTGGTGAACTTACATGCCCAGGGAGTCCCTGATGTACTCTGTCCACAGTCGGGCGGGCCGGCACCTGCCTGTTCATCCAACTAGACATTAATGATTATACTTTTTTACTATTATTAGAAACATGAACCCCTCCCCCTCCAATTCCACCCCTTCCTCCCCTTCCTTCCCTAGAAAATGTGTAAGGCTGGGGTGGAAAGAGGGAGGGGCACAGAGGGGCCCTGTCCCCAGTGTTTTCTTTCTGTCGGTTTGCTTGAGATCAATAATTAAATACTTGAAGAAAGTTGAGAAAACAGAAATGTGACAGTGTTGGCAAATATCTATACAACGTACAGTTTCTGTCGATGCTGTCCTTGGAGACGTTGGAGAAGCTAAATCTGAAGGTGTAGTCCGCATCCAGGTCATTGAAACTGTGGGTACTGGTCAGTTCGATGCTTACGATGGATTCTCTTGTGCACCATTTGCTGAAGTTATCGTGGAAATAGTTAAATGCCTGTAAGTTATAAGACACAATTGTGAAAATTTACAATCCAATGAGATTCAAGATACTCAATAGCCATAATATGTTAAGGAATGTTAGATTGCAACGCGTAATTTTCGGCTAATGCGTCTCCTTTTTCTCGTCTTCTTCGTTTTCCTTTTCTTCTTCTTCTTCTTCTTCTTCTTCTTCTTCTTCTTCTTCTTCTTCTTCTTCTTCTTCTTCTTCTTTTTCTTCTTCTTCTTCTTCTTCTTCTTCTTCTTCTTCTTCTTCTTCTTCTTCTTCTTCTTCTTCTTCTTCTTCTTCTTCTTCTTCTTCTTCTTCTTCTTCTTCTTCTTCTTCTTCTTCTTCTTCTTCTTCTTCTTCTTCTTCTTGCTGTTTTTTGTTTGTTTTGTTTTCGACAGTGGTATCTAGAAGCTGACAGTCTAAAAAGCACTGGCAAACTACTGGACGCAAACTTGTCTAGAAAATCCACAACAGCCAAAAAATGCTGTAAAGGATCCTGTAAAGGATGCGCAACTAAAAAAAAAAAAAAAAATTACTTCCCGTTTACCTTTAGTGGGCAGGAGAACTATTTTGTTTTCTCCAAACAAAATGATGATACCGTTCAACCTCACCAGCACATCACACCAAGCGACACACACCTGGTGATACAAAGTGCCATCATTACGACGAGGATTACCCGCGGATAGGTCCCAGAAACCCCCTTTAACCCATGGTTTGGGTTATATTAGGGGCCCTGGTAACAGGGTGGGGTTTTAAACAACAAAAGCTTACCTCTGACATCGGGACGCAGTCATAGATGCGTTATCTATAAGTAAGTAAGTAAATTTTACCAAACCAGGACATCACACAGAGCCAGTGACACACAAAGTACCACCATGCGGGTGAGGATCACCAGTGGAGAGGTCCCGGAAACCGCGTTCAACCGTTAGGTTGCAGCACACGAGATGACGCTTATGGTTACCTCTCCAAAAAGTATGGCCCCGGAACTCCATACATGGAACAAGGCATACAATTGTCGAGAAAATACTATTTAAAAAATATATATATATCTATTAAATGATATATAATTGTCATTTTACTGTAATCGTTTATCTCATTGCTATTACTGACATAAAGTGTGCATAGTTAATATTGTCAAAGTTCTGGCATAATCACTATATGGTTAAATGGAGGGAAAGAAGAGAAGAGGCAGACAAAGAGACATGGTTACAGACTTCACGCACTGGACAGGCCTTATGCATGCAACCATGAACTCCATTGCATTTGACTGTCAAAGGTGGAAGGAGCTATCAGACATTCAACCGAAACTGGTGTCCCAGCAACACGCACTGTTACATGACCATGATGATCGCATAATCGGGCGAGATGACCATTTCCATGTCTCAACGCTTTCCTTTCATATAAATTCCTAAAGCTGAAAAATGTAGAGGTTCGCAGCTATACCATGTATATATATATATACGTCCCTGATCTCTTCAAAGAGACCTTCTTTTTTATTTTATTTGTTCACTCAGACGGAAAGTCCTCGTTGTTTGTCCATTAGGACTTTGGCATTCTGCCAAAGCCAGTTTTTGCTTGTACATCGTTTTACTGGCTTATTTGTGTGCAGTTGGTTGTTCCTTGCCGCTCGGGCAGTTGCACTCGGACTTCGAAGAAAACCCAAAACAAGTCAATTTTGTTTGTTGGGAAGCCGGTGGGCTTATTCTTGTTTTAACCACAATGGGGACCAGGAAATCACATAGGGAAAAGGTTAGTTGCGGGGTTTCTCTCGGCAAGTTAACGTCTAGTAGTTTGCCATTGCTACTGGACGGTCGGCTCCCCGATACCACTGTCGAAACCAACGCAGGGCGCATGGCCCGCAGCTGGGATCGAACCCGTCATTACGAAGCGTTCGCATCGTTTAGCCACAGAGCCGACGCATGTGGAAAGCACACTTTAATTTACCAGCGGATATAATTTAGAGGTTTCAAAATGGATACTATGCAATACCGTGGAAATCTGAGGCTTTTGTATGAATTTGCCAACATGACACCTCGAATTATCATTTGTCAACGCAAGAAGGGTTTCATATGTCGTCACAGGAGTTTTGAAACTGAGTTCATTTGAATTTGTAATATTCTGTCATTGGCGTTCATTTGTACTTGTAAGAATCTGTTATACTAACTAATCTTTTTAAAAGTTTAATTATAAATTAAAATTTAACAATCATAAAGAAAAACAAACCGCTGCTAGCTTGATGTGGAGAGTGTAATGTGGAGATACATATCGGTGACCGCATTAGTCCAGTCAAATCCAGTTGCGACTGGCTGCAGCCCACGGTCGGTGTTCGAAACCGGACGGTTTCCGGGGTTTACCCAGCCTCTAGGAAATGGGTACCTGAGTTAACACTGAGGTAAATGGAAGTACGTCGCTGTAGCTACGGAGTTCCATGCGGACGGCGACGCAGGCGAACAGTTTCTTATCAGCTGTCCGTACAGGTGGCAGAGCACTTAGGGTTTATCACCGTATTTATCACAACTTGTTTATGTACATGTTTCTCGGAAAGTTCATGTGCTTTGGATTTCCCCACGTCTTTATTTTTTCTTTAAATTTACAAACTTCTTTTGTTTCAATTAGCGCGCGATGGCGTGTCTTGCCACATACTCACTGAACAGAGCTTCGCCTGAAAATGGTTGAAAAATATTGGTGTCAATAAATATGGGTCTATTACCATATGTCCGATACTTCACAGATACATATCGTCTTGACATTACATTACAAGATTGCTACACATGGTTTACAGTTACTGGTAATTAATAAACAAACAATACAGGGTTGTGTGTCTGTCCGTCTACTTATCTGTCTGTCTGGCTGTCTGACTGACTGTCTGTCTGTCTGAATGAGTGCCTGCCCATTTATATGTGTGTCATCATTTTGTTTATCTGTCTGCTTAAACAATGACAGGCTCCTGAAGCCTAAATTGTTTAGCGAAACCAGTCAATAAATGCTGATGTCGGTTCTCAAGGTCCTATAAAGAATATCCAACTTCCTTTCTGCCTGCCTACCTGCCTGCCTGTCTATCTGTTTCTCTGTCTGCTTCGGTTGTTCAGAGTTTACAGCTGGTGAACGCGAAGAAGAAGAAGAAGAAGAAGAAGAAGAAGAAGAAGAAGAAGAAGAAGAAGAAGAAGAAGAAGAAGAAGAAGAAGAAGAAGAAGAAGAAGAAGAAGAAGAAGAAGAAGAAGAAGAAAAAGAAGAAGAAAAAGAAGAAGAAGAAGAAGAAGAAGAAGAAGAAGAAGAAGAAGAAGAAGAAGAAGTTGTCCAGACATCAGCCCATAAGCCTACCTTCTCAGGTCCAAATCTTGTGGTATATATCCTGAGCTGTGCCCCAGATACCGGAGTCTTAAAGGACATGTCTTCATTGTGTATGCAGATTCCTTGGTCAGGGTTCCCAGTCATGTAATGGGCTGTACATGTGATGTTTCCCTAGGAAAAATATACACAATGGATTAAATTTGTTTTTCTTCCGTGTAACAAGCGACTCAGATTATGTTTTGGAATGTGGACGTAAACAAGTGAACTAGACAATGGCAGTAGAAAAATTCGGTCAGCGAAAACGCAGTCATTTCATAACAATGCCGGCGTTATAGAATGTCCAAATATTATTGGATGCATCTGTCTTTTTGAGAATTCATTAGATTGTTATAGTTTACAGATACTTTGTATTTTCTTCATGTGGTTTATGATACACACACCCATGCAATATATATATATATATATATATATATATATATATATATATATATATATATATATATATATATATATATATATATATATATGTGTGTGTGTGTGTGTGTGTGTGTGTGTATATATTTAAACATACATACATATACATATTAAGTGTGTGTGTTTCATGTGTGTGTGTGTGTGTGTGTGTATGTACTGTATGTACACACACAAACACACACACACACACAGTTCTAACATTTGGCTGTGATCTTGGAAACAAAAGTAAACAAGTCAAACAATTACTTAAGGCCTAGGAGATGTAGTTTTACAGAAGAATCCTTAAAATAATTCTTTGGGTAGCCAAAAATAGCACCATGCATGATTTGAAAGAGGCCGATGTATTCATTGGGGAGTAAGTTCAATGTGTTGATTATGTATATTGTATAGCCTATTAGTATTGAAACATTTCTTTATAAACTGCCAGTAACTGTCTTTATTATACCACTTTTGCAGTGTAAGCTCAGGAGAGGGGGGGGGGGGGGGGGGTTTGAACCTGAGGATTTACAGCCGCCTGGCTAGAAAAACTGCCAATTACTGCCTTTATTTTACTACTTTAATGTCTTTATATAAAAAGTCGTCACTCCTGTTTTCTATTTTACAAAATCTAGCAACAATAGCAACCATATTGTTTGTATCATTGGGGTGAGGGGGGGGGGGGGGGCAGTATAAAGTATGGGGATGGGAAAATAGTCTGGGGGCGGGGGGTGTGATGCTCTTGGATCTAATTTTGATCGAATGGCTAGCACAGGTAATGTGCTGTTTTTGCTTTCTTTTTTGCCCCTGTCATACATTGCAGTCGGCTCTGCAGCTAAGTCGATGCGAACGCTTCGTAGTGCCGGGATGCCAGGTTCGATCCCAGCTGCGGGCCATGCGCCTTGCGTTGGTTTCGACAGTGGTATCAAGAAAGCCGACCGTTTAGAAAGCAATGGCAAACTACTAATCGTAAATTTACCTAGAAAAAAACACGCAACAGCAAGTGGCTGTTGGGGTTGGTTCTGCAACGTCTTGTAAAGGATACGCAACTAACCTAACCACACATTGCAAGGAAGTAAATGTAAACACTAAACGAGCACTGTTAAACACAGTATTTTTACCAACGTTCTGCTGTCAGTGTCAAACATGGACACTTGTCTTCATGATGTAATGAAATGTTTGCGTATTATGTTAGGTGTAACAACGAAATATAGACTTAAAAATGAATATATCAGACGGAAATGGACCCAGAAAAATAATGAATTCAGCGGTAGACAAAAGCTGAAATGGTTTGGCCATGTGACAAGAATAGCATCAGACAGATCACCACAGAGAGCAGTGCTATACAGATAAAATGGTAACAGAGCCGGAGGTCGACCGTGCAGAGATGGACTGCAGAAATATCGGAAACACTGGAAAGTATTACATATGAAGAGAGTAGAAGGACTCGTTCCAGGGATCTATTCTTGCCCTGATGCTGCGAGGCATTCCAGGAGTAGAGGAAAGAAGAAGAAGATAGACGGAAAGAAGAAGAAGATAGATTTTTTGGTCTGCTAAGATCGAACAGGATATACACAATTATATATTTAGCGTGGCTCCACGGGGGTCAAATATACAGCGCATTATATGGACCACGTGTTATTTGAATTCCTTCAGTCTCGTATGCCTAAATGTAAAATGTACAAGCATACATAATATTTATGCCGAAGCTTATGAATAGCACTTCGTCACATAGGATGCACCATTTGCTACTTAAAGAAATTTAAACACACACATACCCCAGTACATACCCACGCACACACACGCACACACGAAAGAAGATACAATTCTTACCCAGGATTCGAACTCGGGTCTTCCGAAAAAGGACTCATGGTTCTTAACTGTTTGGACATCCGCTTCTCTCCCAGCTTTTGAAAGGGTTCTTTTTTTTTCTTAGCGTTCACCGGCTGTAAACTCTGGTAGAATGTTCTGGTTGTTCATCCACTTCCAGACCTTGGTCTTGTTTCAGAATTTCGCTTTTGCGAGCACATTCATTTAACAGATCTGACTTATTGTTATGCAGATTGTTGGTTGCTGACTCCACAGGCAATGCACTTCGACTTTGAAGGTAACACTCCTAGTAAGTCAACGCCTTTTACGACATACTTTTTAGGTACTCGCGGGTCTGTCTACAACTCCCACCCCTAAATTGCCCCCCTTTTTTTTTCTACCCTAAATGTGACCAAGACACCCCCAAAAGCAACTAAAAGAATAAAGACGAAATGAACCCAATATGCCCGGTACAGGATATAGTACTTACCGGAATAGTAGTGTTGTGTACAGGCCATATGCTGGAGGTCAGTTTCACGCTATCGTACTGATCCAATCGGATTTGCCGAGATCGACAATTCCTGGACAGTCCTCAGAATATCTGGCACAAATATGCAAAATATTCCGTTGTCATGGGTATTTTATGACACGTAAGCTGTAACATTTCATTTGTAACGGTAATTACACGTGATAGACCATGTGAGATGAGATGTATACGGAATTCTGCTGGCATGAAAAGTAGATATTAAAAAAAAAAAAAAATACGAGAAAAATCGCAGGAGACCAGCTAAACATTTTATCACATACAAGAGGATCAAAAGACCCTTCCCCCCACGCCCCTCCTCTCCCCTTTGTGTGGACTCGGGGACACATTTTGAGGGAAATACAGAGCCACTATCCTCCATTCTTCTTTTCTTCTTCTTCTTCTTCTTCTTCTTCTTCTTCTTCTTCTTCTTCTTCTTCTTCTTCTTCTTCTTCTTCTTCTTCTTCTTTTCTTCTTCTTCTTCTTCTTCTTTCTTCTTCTTCTTCTTCTTCTTCTTCTTCTTCTCCTTCTTCTTCTTCTTCTTCTTCTTCTTCTTCTTCTTCTTCTTCTTCTTCTCACCTATATCCTCTAGAATAAGTAAAGAAAAAGAAAAAGTAGAAAACTCAACGATAGCTAACATAAAGATTCAAAGAGCAAGAGAGTGACAGAAAGATACAAATATGGTTGGCTTGACATAGTGGCCTAATGACAAACTACCGCGGCTCCAACTCAAGTCTGACTAATAGCAAAATCTCATTTTGTTTATTTCATCAGTGTTCTCAGTGTTTAACTGAGTCAGTAAAATGTAGTTGATTACATTCTCTCTCTCTCTCTCTCTCTCTCTCTCTCTCTCTCTCTCTCTCTCTCTCTCTCTCTCTCTCCTCTCTGTGCTGCCTAAGTCAGTAAATTTTAGTTCATTATCCTCTCTCTCTCTCCCTGTCTGTGCTGCCCAAGTCAGTAAAATTTAGTTGATTACATTCTCTCTCTCTCTCTCTCTCTCTCTCTCTCTCTCTCTCTCTCTCTCATCTCTCTCATCTCTCTCTCTCTCTCTCTGCTTCTCTGCTGCCTAAGTCAGTACATTTTAGTTCATTATCCTCTCTCTCTCTCCCTTTCTGTGCTGCCCAAGTCAGTAAAATTTAGTTGATTACATTATCTATCTCTCTCTCTCTCTCTCTCTCTCTCTCTCTCTCTCTCTCTCTCTCTCTCTCTCTCTCTGTGTGTGTGTGCTGCCTGTCAGTAAATTTTAGTTCATTATCCTCTCTGTCTTTCTCTCCCTTTCTCTCTCTGTGTGCTGCCCAAGTCAGTAAATTTTAGTTGATTACCTTCTCTCTCTCTCTCTCTCTGTGCTGCCTGAGTCAGTAAATTATAGTTTATTACCTTCTCTCTCTCTTCCTCTTTCTCTCTCTCTCTCTTCTCTCTCTCTCTCTCTCTCTCTCTCTCTCTCTCTCTCTCTCTCTCTGTGTGTGTGTGCTGCCTGCGTCAGTAAATTTTAGTTCATTACCTCCCCCCCCCTCTCTCTCTCTCTCTCTCTCTCTCTCTCTCTCTCTCTCTCTCTCTCTCTGTGTATGTGTGTGTGTGTGTGTGTGTGTGCTGCCTAAGTAAGTACATTTTTGTTGATTACCTTTTCTTTCTCTCTGCTGCCACTCGTTTGCCAGCGACAGTTTCAACAGACAGAACAAAAGCAGCACCGGAAACTTCGAAGACGCACACATCGTTGTCACAACGTTAGAAACTGGGGATATATAATATTAGACAGATAAATAAATAAAATCAGCCATTGTCACGAACTAGGAAAATATTGTTTGCAATGACAGGATAATAATAATACATGTCATAGTAATAATAATTACTGTAACAGTGAAATAAAGGCCGATATGAACTGACTGACATTTATTAGGCAACAATAATTAATCAATCAATAAATGTAGATAAAATAAATTATTTGACATTTTAGGTTAAAAACAAAACCAATTGTAGTAGTAGAAAATGTTAAACGTTTATAAACAACATCGTCCTAATAGATGGTATAACCTCTGACTATCATACGTATCAATCAATCAATCAGGTGTCGTCTCCACAATGAAGGTTGGCTGCAATGGATCTCCAACAAGCTCTTTCTCTTGTCCTTGATGTACACTCACTATACTGCTGTTCGTCCATCTCTTGATTTTATCTTCCCACTCGTAACGCTGTCTGCCTCTTGCTCGCATCTGCCTCTTGCTCGCCCACCTTGAACTTTTCCCTCTAGGATGATCTTTACAATACTGTTATGTCTTTTAATGTGGTCAAAATATTTCACTTGCCTCTTTTTTTATTTCACCTAGCAATTCTTTTTTCATTCCCAATTTCCTCAGTACCTCTG